CTGCATGGAAATGTGTGCATATTGAACATGTTGTGCATTTGCGTGGATGCAATATTTAATATATATTTTTCCAGCAAACCGACTTTAGTCTTGCAGACTCGTCTGCCTTTTTCAAACATGCATGTCCTGCTGTTTGTCTATTTTTCCGACTGCCAGCTGGTTGCTCTTCATCTTAATGTGGCCAATAAAAAAAATAAAGAAAAATGAATGTGTGTGCTTCTGAATGTGCGTGTGAGTGTAGGTGTGTCTGCGGTGGGAAAAAGAAACAGGGCAAGGGAGCATGTTTCCTCTCGCTGTGAGTGTGCATTTGAATGAGAATGACCTTGCATTACTTATGAGTGCCACAAGTAATTTGAGAGCTAACGGTGGTTAAAACTAGAACTAACATTATGAGGTAGAAATATGTCTGTATTTCTTTAAGTGCACTCTCTACCAGAGTTTGAGACATGAAAAAAGAGAACTGGTGGACAGCAGAGCCAAGTTAGAGAAGGTCAGACTTAGTTTAGAAGATTCAGCCAGAGCCAATGTTAACTGTGGCTTGCTTTTTCCTCTTTTGCATACTTTCACGCTCAACTTACATTCAGCCTGGATACTGTGTTTATTAAACAATATTTTAATCCACTGAGAAGTCGGAAAGAAATGAAAAGCAGTTTTTGAGGAACTTGTTGCATGCGAAGAAGTAGGTTTTTTAGCTTAAACACAAGTTAATTAGTGTGAAGAAATGAGAGAGAATGAATTGAGACGTTAACTCTCCGTGACCCCAAAAGTCCCAGTCAACTTGCTTTTTATTTACACAATTTTCTAGACATTAAGAAAAGAAGGAGCCAATTAGTCACACTAACGGTTTACAGTACTTTGCAAAAATACAAAATATTGCGCAAATGTGAAGCCTAAAGAAATACCTCTATATAATATCTAGTTGCCTTCAGACCATCGTCACAATAAAACATGACAGTGGAAGCATTATGTTATCTAAACCAGAATAGACAAAGCTACTAATAAGGCTTCACTGAAAGAAAACTATAAAAGACTTGACTTGGTTAATGGTGTTTACTTTCTGCCAGGGCAATAACGTTAAACATTCACCCAAAGCTACAATAGAATGGTTTACCGCACAGCAAATATGCAACATTAAAAATACTCAAAGTGCAGACCTGAATTCACAAATGTTCTTTTTTTATTTGCTAAGCTTCAGCAGTTTTGACAGTAAAGCATAATAAAATAAAACACCATGTTGGGCACCGATCGAGGCTTACTCCCAAAAGTGGCACCTGTAAATGGAGCAAAAAACATTGACCAATTGAACAAAAGTTCATTTCACTTTTAAGATCTTTACTTATTTTTTTTTACTAATAAAAATAAAACTCTGGAAAGAATATCTCATTTTCTTTCTATTTGCATAGTAATGCACTACTTTATTTTGATTAATCACATAAAATAATAATAATAATAATAATAATAATAATAATAATAATAATAATAATAATGATAAAAAAAACATATATTGTAATAAGAGATTGTAATCCAACAAAATGTTGAAAGGTTAAAGGTATCCATCTTTCTATAGATGCCCAGACTGATGCTCACTGGTTGTTGATAAACAAAATTGTTCTAATGTTTCAGAAAGAAAACAGAGGAACGTGATTACAGAACAGAAAAAGAATCGTGTCTGTCTGAAAGACCACCTGACCCTGGCACTGTTTCAGACTGCTCTACTAAACTTGCATTCTCTCACACCCTCCCTTTTTGTTTGATTTTTTCTTCCTTCTGTCCCAGAATAATCAGTCTCATGATGTGTAATGAGCTGAAAATCTTCTGTCAGCCTGACCTGATGAAATGTAACATTGGTAATGCCCCAGGTCACTTTTCTTCACACCCCAATCCTTTAAGTCGTTCACTCTGTCTCTACCCCGTTCAGCTTTTTTCTTTCTCATGAAATCACCTCTACCATCCATCCTTGTTCTTTCCCATTGGCCTTCTTAAGTTGTCTCATGCTATTATGTCCGCGCTGCCTTCCCAATGCATTTTCTGTCGATTTCCCACTTTGGCGTTTGAACTAGGCCTTTGAACCAGGAACATGGCATGAATGCACCAGAGGGATTTGGTCCCTACCTTTGAGCTCTCAATCAGCTTATCAACTAAAGTGTACTACCCTTAGCTGGCCTTCGTTTGGTTGGAGAGCCTTTTCTTGAAGTTGAGCTAAATTGGCACGCACAGGATCACCCTTAAGCAGATTAAGTCGCCAATTTTTGCTAAAATTCATTGTATTCCTTATTAATAATGTGATTGTGCAATGACAACTACTCTGGGTGGTGCACTAATGAGGGACTGGCAGGAGAAAAGCTAAAAACTGGCAGTCATGGAGGTACATCTAAATCAACTTAGATGTGTGAAACTTGACTTTCAAGATAAAAAGAGTGTATTTGCTTACATTGAGGCCTGCAAAACAGACAAATAAATAAATTAATAAAAACTTTATAAAATAAACCTCTTTATACCACTTTAACCTCTGCTATGCTGCAAACAGAATCTTCATTATATTTTTTTGTGATTTAATGCTATTTAAATTTAAATAGTGGAACTGATGTTCCACTACGTTTTATTGAAATGGAATAAAACAATTCATTATTTTCAGTGATTCTTTGGAGAACCACTTTTGACTTACAGTTGCAGCAATTTTGGGGGCAAGTCTCTATCAACATGGCACATTATCTATTTACATTTTAGCTACTTTTTCTTTGCAAAATAGTTAAGAGAGGTCTGTAAAGAGCAAAGTTACAGTCTTTATACAAACTTTTAAGTAGATCAATGTATAGATTCTGACTTGTCCATCATCACAAATGAATTAGCTTTAAATGTCCCTCATAGCATCCTATTGCGACCCTTGTTACAGGCAGACATCTGCCTATACTCAAGCTTTCATGTTGTTACTAACACTTTTTTGCCATTTCTAGTAAATGTGTGCAATAGAAGGAGCCTTTCTTTGAACGGGTCAAATTTATGCTAGAGAGATATAAAAATGATGACGATGTGTTCTGATGACATGATCAAGACATCATCATCATCGGATGACTCTAGGCAACACAAATTGTTTGTTGACTATATTTTAAAGATGTGCTATTGCTAGAGACTGAACTGGTTCTTCTGAAGAGCAGAAAAACGAAAAAAAAAAATCCTCAGTAAAGTTACTCGTAAAGCCGCTGCTATGTAGCGCTGTCTACTGGTTGGCTGCCAGGGTAACACATTTCTGGAATAAATTACTTCCGGTCTTGTGCGAACTATCTGCTGACATTTAATTATTTACATATCCAGATCTGGGCCAAGGCACAAAGCAAACTAGGTGGCTGTTTAGAACTATGTGTCCACTAAGGGTGCCCCTAAGTGGTATTGATATTTTTTTAAACTTTTATTTAGTGATAATTTTTATGTGATTATTTAAAAAAAAACATACACAATTTTACTATAAAGTTGTAATTTTTTATATTTTTTTTCACAATAATGTATGTGAACATGTAAAAATCTTTCTTTAGGGCATGAAGAAAAATAATGAATTGTTCTTGGGCCCCCTCATGGCCTCGGTAGGCATCGCCAATACGAGCTGCTGTGCGCATCCAAATCTCCAAAGCATTGGTGGAAGATAAGTAAACAAAACAATCTCGCAAAAACGGACTTATTCTTCAGGAGCAGAGAATAGAAATGGGAAGAATAGAAAAAAAAAACAAGATAAGGGCATGTTTGCATGTGACTTGGTAATGTAGAAAATTAGTGATTGATTGATAAACTAAAATAAAAATTCTACACTTCCATTAAGATTCTTGGAATTCGCTTACAGTCTTATCTTTGAAATCTTCTTCCATATGTGGTATTCATGAGTAGTCAGAAAGCACATCATCTGACATCTGTGAAACACACCTAGAAAGCTGGAGGACATAGACAGTGTCCCAAAAATGTGTGAACGATTTGGCTCCTTCAATAAAGATGCCCCTTGCCTTTTTCATGTCTGACCCCTGCTGTTATTCCTCTAAATGCTATCCTTCTGCTTCTTTTTTCTTTGTATCTCTTTTAGTCCAAATTTTAAACAACTGTTTTTTAGGTTTGCTGTACAATAAATCTTCAAAGTAACAGAGTCAAATAAAGATAATGAGACACTATTTTATTTTTATCTGAAAATCTTGACTAGTTCTGCATCCTATTGTGAAGTAGTAGTTGTTGAGCAATTAGACCCCTTCCTGTGTTAGGATAAAGATGCCCTGAGGTCACATCCTGTCTATCAGGCACTCTGCTTGGACACACAGGCTCACACTGCTGGAGGGCATGAGTGTGCAGAGGAAGGAGATGCACTGGAGAGCTTGAACATTATCTTCAGTAGCCATGAAGTAGAACCACACTTATGAGGAAGATGAAATAAGTGGTGAAAGGAGGTGAGGGGAAAGTTGTTTCCATCCCAAGGGTCATTGAACATGCCATTCAACTAATCTATGAACCACAATAATTTTGCCTCCAAGATGTAGACTGTCCATTGATTTCCATGTTTAGGCTGTCATTTCATCTCAACTTAACCATTTAAGCACTCACGGGCTTTCCTACACACAGCCCACATGCAGTGAGGGGGCAAAACTGATCTTTTGTGCTTTACCATGAAATAAATGAGTTGGGCTGAATCCTTTTTCCATGGTCTTCCTACAGCTAACTCACCACCAGTGCTTTGGAAGTTATATCAAGTTTTATTTTATTGGAACACATTACAGGCAAAAATAGATTAACAGAGCGGGCTCCTATGCCTTCATGTCCAAAAGTGCTCTTTTTTTAAAGTTAATTATGCTCTGCACTGCTACACAGGAGTATGTGGGACACCCTGCCTCTTATAAACACTCTTACGAGTGAAAGATGAAGACCACAGGGTGAAATGGGCTTCAGCCTCTAAAGTAATCACTGTAGAACATAGCAATGTAGTTATTGTGGGAAATTCTAACACCTAAACCTGTTGTCCCTTTAAATAGTTGGAGGAGCTGATGGGAGCTTTAGAGAAGACTCGCCAGGAGCTAGATGCCACTAAAGTACGTCTGTCCTCCACTCAGAAGTGCCTACATGAACGAGATGGACACCTCAACCATCTGCGGCAGGAGAGACGCAAACAGCTGGAGGAGATTCTGGAGATGAAGTAAGCTCAAGCTGAAAGTACATTATCTTCCACTTTAGGTCAGTTTGTATCAAAACATTACTCAAGTCCAACACACCACTCTGACTCATACATAAATAGAAATCCCTTCCTAAACTGCTTCAAGCTCAAACTAAATGATGGATGTTGGACTCCTTTACAATTATCTTCAGACCTCTTTGTTCTTCCACTTTTATATGTATTCTTGCTTCAGCTTAACTGGTTCAATGATTTAATTTCCTTCTCAGCATGTCATCAAGTTCAACAGACGGACATTAATGACCCATCAGTTTAAATCAGGTTTGTTGAAACAGAAAAACATTTCAAACATCCAGGGCAGTCAAGCCTGGGGACCAGAGATGGGAAACACAGTATTTAAAGGCATACCTGTAATACAAAAGATGAACTGAGTCGACAGTTGCTAATTATTAGTTATTTTTCACTGCTGACCTAGTTCCCTTCTTTTACATACAGTTATATACTATATATACTCGTTCTTTGCAAGGTATCAATACCTCTCAATTTTTTAATGCATTATGTCATGTTATGACCACAATTAACAGGCTTAAGGATTCTTTTGAGATACACAAACAAAAAGTAATGCATAATTATGAAGTACAAAAAAAAATTATGGATGTTTTTGCAAACCTGCTTTCCACATTTCTGTAAAGTGACAGATTCAGGATTTACATATGTAGCGCCCTGATTTACCTATTACTCGTATTTCGTTACCAGCTTTTCAAATCTCTGTATATTGATTTTACCATACTTTTTTTCAAAAACAGCTGGCTTCCATGTCTGTGTTAAAGAAAATGATCTCTCAGCATGGCACTGCTGCCACAATTCTTTGAAATGGGAAATTTATTTTACAAACATTTTGTCCCATATTGTTTTGCATGCTGACCACAAAGTTTTATTGTTGGTCTATCTTATCTGAGTAAGATAGACTTATTTAGTCTTTCTCTCAACAGTTCATCTTGCCGTTTCTCCATAGAAACCACATTTGTGGAATGCATAATATGTTCTTGTCATCAGATTATACCACCTATGCAATTAATTTTCTCCAGAAGCAGCAACTCGAAAGTGAAGAAACGATCCTTAGTATGAAGCAAAGTGCAGTACAAGGGGCTGGGTTTAAATAGGCTAGGCAGTCATTGCAATGGATTTTATTTTGGGATATCGGAGTAAATGGAGCTGATTACAAAGTAACACCATGCTTTTAATATACTTTTTTTGAAAAAGGAAAAATGTTGTGTTCAAAACTTTTATTGCATCACCTATTTACACATGCAGAATTCTTTTACTTATATGTTTCACTGAAAGGGAGTGAGAGTCAGAGGCAGAACATAACGAGAAAAAGGAAAAAAAAAAATTGTCCAGAATTGTCTAGATTCCCGTGTGTGTGTGTGCGTGGGTGGGTGTGTGTATGTCAGTGGGTATGTCTTACGTGCTTTGAGTTATCTGACTAAAGGACTAAGAAACCACATATCTGCTTGTCATGTGCTGCAGACAAATGCTTTTAATGTGAGCCACAGTAGAGAGAACATTGGCACATGTACACTGAAAAGACAACTTTTAAAGTCCATTATGCCGCTTTGATCACACAGAATACTGAAAGAATGTGTACACAGGGCAGTTATTCTGCCGTGTGTGTGTGTGTGTGTGTGTGTGTGTGTGTGTGCGTGACGGCATGTTTGTGTCTGTTAGAAGAGAGCACAGCTGCCAAAAGCATACCCTATGCATGTCTCTGTTGTAATACAAACCATCTTCCTGTCTGTTTTGATTTCTGACGTCTAATTTGACCAGGAATGTTAATCAGGAAGCATGTTTTTTAAATGATAAAGACACAATCTGTGCTCAAGGTGTCTCTAACAGAACTGCTTTGTGACCCAGTATGTGAAACACATCCATGCTGTTGTATGGCACTGTGCTTACGCTAGTATTGTATTACCATCAGAGGATGCCTGAGAGGAAGACGTTTAGTGTGATGGTTGGTTGACCTACACAGCAACAAAGTCTATTGGAATCTTTCCCTTTGTGTTCGAGCCTCTGCCTAGTCTAAACTGGTAAGAGTTAATGAAGGGGGCACACAGGGCATGAGTGTGTGTGTGGTCTGTTATGCATTGTATTCTATGTGCATGAAGAGGTTGGGAGCCGGGGGTTTGGGGTCACTGATGATGAGGATTAAAGAACTGTTGAATTGCGAGGGGGCAAAGCTTCGTGAGACAGAATGGCCCACAAAGATACGCATGCAAAATCTACGCACAACCTCAGTGGAACTCGCATGTAATCACTCACGTCTGCAGACATGCACATACTTAGACAAACTGTGGCTTTTTGCTTTTAAAAAAAGGGGGCTATACTCCCCACAGCATAGCTCCGGGCCAAGTTGGCGGAGAGAGATTTAAGCAGGAAAGACATAGGGCAGAGAAAGAGGGGCAGCAAGAGGTATAGATAGGAATAAATGCAGGAATGAAGGAGGACAGGGCAGATTGAATGGGATAGAATAAAGGGGCTGTACAAACTGAGGTATTCCAAATCTTAGGAATCATGATAGAAGTTTGACAGAATGCCAGGATTCTCTCTCTCTTTCTATCTCTTCTTCTTCTTTCTCCCTCTCTCTCCTCTATAATGTGGCAATTGTCTAGGTCAACTGAAGCAAACTGTGTGAGGTTTGTTCCACAGCGAGCAAGGGAGGTTCTGTATGAGCCTGTGTGTTTTTTTGTTTTTGTGTGTGTGTGCTTGTAAGCCAGAAGGAGAGAGAGAGAGAGAGAGAGACAGAGAGAGATAAAAAATAAAAAACTTGGCTTTTCAACACTGGTAATGAATAAAAGAGACAAGGAGAGAGAAATCATATTCAATATCCTCTCATGGCCTACTGGGTTTCCTTAGCTCCCAATGTTTGTGTGTGTGTGCGTGTGTCTATGTGTGTAAATGTTAGAGAGAGCTTATTATTATCGTTTTCGGATATGGAGCTGAAGGCTTGATGTATAAGGAGCAATCCGGGTCTCTTCTATCATCCCACACCAGATTAAGTTTCCACCGTACTGTACAGTGTTCACACACACAGACACATATGGTCTCCTGAGGAGCTACTCATTAAATAATTCTGGGGTCACAGGGTGTAGGTGCGCAATAGAGAAATGATGTGTTTGGACGTTTTGAATAGTCCATCATTGAGATGTTTCTATAGTCAGAGTTGGATAACACTTCATGTCATTACATCGCAGATTCTGAAGCTAATCCTTATGCAGACGTTAAAACCGTGGGCGAGCTTATTTGTGTTTACATTTTGCAATGGAATTTGATAAGAAAAAAGATAGGGATATAATTGAAGATAGTAAAATGAGAAAAAAGAGGGTAGAGTTTGGTTATACTTAGTAGAGCAACATGCAAGAATTATAGGAAAAGCTGAACACTTAGCACAAGATAAGTTGTAGAATAGTGCATGGGCAAAAGCTGAAAAGGAATGGAAAAAAAGATGATGTAGTAAGGAAAGTAGGGAGGATGGTGATGGAGAGAGTGTTAGATGAAAAATATATGGAGTACTGCGTGGAGCTGTGAAGGGTGGGAGGGAACAAAGTGTGGCTGGCATAAAATGACACAAGGACGGGTATTGAGCAGAATGACTGAACACAGCACATCAGCAAATAAGTACATTGCAAAAAACCTAGTTGTCAACTGAAAAGTGTAATTGTGTCAAAATGCTAATGTTTTTTGATGGAAGATAACCAAAACTCACATTAATGTAAAATGCTACTTGTATTTTATTTTATTTTTTAATCTGTTAGTAGGTCTTATGATGTATAACACTGACAAGATGTGCATCAATTGAGAACTGCAAAAGCTTCTGATGTATTTCTTGCTGGACATTTGACCACTCTTCTTAGCTGCATTGTTGCTGTTATTTCAATTGGTGTGTTTTCTCAATGAGTTCAACTTTCAGTCATCTTGCTGTTGATTTGAGGTGAAGTTGAGAAATTTTGAGGACTCTGTCATGGCAGAGGACCTTTGATTCATCATTCCGCCAACTTTATTTTAAATCTTACTCGCAGAAAAACAACTCCTCCAAAGCATGATATTTTGGCCACCACCACCATGTTAAAGAGTTGGTGCAAGGTTCTAGGGTTTGAAAGTCTCAGCTTGATTCTTGCATTTTGGTTTTAAAGTTTGGGATTGTTTTAACTGGTGTCCTGGGATTTCAAACTCAATTCATTTTGGACTGTGACACTGGTGTTCCAGTAAAATCAAACTTAATATTATGTTCCTGGGTTATTTTTGAACTTCCCAACCAATTCCCGTTTTATCGAGGTTGACAGTTTGTTTCAAAGAGTTGAAATTTGGACAGAGCTAGTTGTCCTGACTGGTCAATGATCCCCAAAACACATCAAACCATGATTTACAATGTATATGACAGGCTATCATTAAAGCCCTTCTCAAAGTACTGAACTCACGCCTATTAAAAATTGTGTATTTGTCTTTAAAACCTGGACTTTGCCAATCCAACTTGTTGCCAAGGACTCAGAGAGTTGTCAAATACCCAACCTGAATTATGTTCAAACCTTATTGATGGTAACAAGAAGTGTATTGTCAAGGTGCATCTTGCGAAAATAAACTATAGCAACAATTTGTAGCAACCTTTATCTATAATGTTATACATTATGACTTATTGAAACTTCATATGGTTTTATATGTATACTCTTACACTGCATTACTAAGAAGGAGAAGCAAAGGGAAAAAAAAGCATTTTTACAAACATGTCTAACTTTAATCCTCTTCAGTTCTTGTGTTGTTGTTGTCCTTGCATGTAGCTCCTAAAGATAGTTGGTAGATGGGTTTCTAAAGCATTTTCTGGGCCTACCACACTGGCTCTGTCAATTCATGGCCACTGCTGTTTCGTTCTCTTCAAAATATCAGATAACTTGATAATAGCATGAAATCACAAAGATAACTTTTATGTTGTACAACAATAGGGAATGCATCAAATCCACAATGAGGAGTCT